TCCATTGCAGTGCTCTGATATTTACGTAAAAAAACGTTGAAACGTAGGCACCGACACAAATTGATTTCCTAGTTACTTTCGAAAAATCGATGAAATCGATTCTGTTCGACAGTATACGTGCTCCTTACTAAACTCGAAATCTCGATAACGGTGCATCGTACAGCGTAGCCATTGGTACAGACGAAATCAGCATCGAAAAGGAAAACGTTTTTTTATCTGGCCGTTCTCTGTTCTCTGTTCCAGGGTTTTTCGACGATAACTTCCAAACGGTTTGAGCTACACGAGATTAAAATTTTGCTCCTTTTTAAACGTCTGCGACCTGCATAAGGTATGTAAAAATGGCTGCGTTCAAGCTTCCGCGTCCATCTTTTGGGGTTGGGGGTCGCGAAGTATTTTAAAAAAATTAAAAACTGTGTTTGCAAGGGTCTAAGGATAAGATCATTTCTCAAAAACTGTTTATGGAACCGAAAAATTTCTTGAACGAGAACACGTAGAAGATTTGGCTTCATAAACTTTTATTTTTGACAATGTTTCAATAATATACGGGGTAAATTAAAAAAAACTGAAAAATGGATCCCTCTATAATTGAAAATTGTCAATAACTAAAGGACTGTGTTTCAAATATCAGTTGTGTTTTACACGGTAATAAAGCTCACATGCAGAGCTAAAACTTTTGTATTTAAGGTTTTCACCTATTGTACAGAGCGTCCGCGACATTCCATGCAATATTAAAAAATGTAATAGGTGCCCGAAATTTGCAGCTTCCGACTTCAGATTTGGCAGAGAAGTGGAAGTTTAGACCCACATTTAAACTATTAAAGTCGAGTGCAATTAAGAACCGCAAAGTATTTTTTTTTAATTTTTGATTTTTTTTTTGTTATTTTGGCTTCCAGAAAAACATGGTTTTCTCCATAACCATTCACCCGATCGGCAAATTTCTTTAACTGGCAGACGCGAAGAATCCATTGTTTCAAGCATTTTTCGATTATATACAGGGTTTTTAAATTGTTGGCAAAAATTTAAAAGACTTGTTCTTTTCCAGAGTAAATTATTAACCCCGAATCAAAAATCGTAAAAAATATCTATTGGTCCAAACAGTGTCATAGGACGCATCAAGAGTTGCAATTTTTGTATTTGCGGTTTTCGTCTATCACATACATATGAAAATTGCTATTCCGGCGCGATGACGTCATTGATTATTACGGCGCACTGCGTGGTTTCAGAAAAATCTTATTTTCTCGAAAACCATTTAATATTTTAGAAAAATTCTTGGACCAGAAAACGTGGAAGATCAGGTTTATAACCTCCATTTCCGGATTTTTTTCAGATATGTACAGGGTGTGTCGATTATGGGTAAAAAATCTAAAAGACCCTGAAAATTGCCATTTTCGTGGATAAATTGCTAACCGTAAATGAAAAACTACAAAACATGGGTTAATTTGGTTTAAACAGTCTCGAAAATTGTATCTAGAGAGAGTTTCAGGTTTCGTCTGTCAAACAGGGTGCGCGAGATATATATAATTATTGCATTTATCAAAGTTTGCAGTGACTTTGAAGTTCGGCAAGTTGTGAATGTCATACAGTCATACAGGGTGCATGCACGATAAAATTACATCGATTTTGCGAAAGTTCCATAGTGGACCACAGGAGCACGATAGAAAAACATTGCATCCCTCTAGCACAAGAAAGTGCAAAAGCTGCAAAACTTTTTTTTCATTTGACCCCTTCCAATAGCTAGCTAGAGTGATTTAGTCACAACCTTAATAGATACAACTATAAATGCAATGACTGTTAATAGTCAAGAAACGTATTGGTCCTAATTTGTAATTATGTTGTCATGTAAACTTTATTTTATTTTCTATTTTATATATATATTTTTTTAAAGCTTTTAGGCCGTTTTACTGGATACGACATGTGTATAGCGCTATATCACACTTAATATTTATATGGCGGAGGAAGAAACGACAGTCGGGACTACCAGGGAATTTTTTAAATGTAAATTTTATCTCTCGTGGCGCAGCCCAATTGTTGGTTTGTAGCCGGTCGCATTCTTCAGTTATATCGGAAATCGGTTAAGCAATTTCCGTAGTATTCTCATCGGGCGGCGCATTCTAAATGAAATTTTAAACTTTTCCGGTTTGCAAATATACGGTACGCTGCATGATCGTAAACTGGCTTAATTTTCAAAAGTCGAAAATCGAATTTTAAAAACAAATTTGTTCAATTCTGATGTTTACAGTTATAGTTAAATGTGTATTCAACTTTTACCGAATTAAAATAATTCAGATGATTGACGATGATGATTAAACTGCCAAATTCGCGTTTTGAATACTTGGTGGAGTCAAAGCAAAACATTGTTGCTGGTGCTATATTTTTTTGTTTTTTGCGATTTAAAACGTAATTTGTGTGATTACTAAGGCCCGTAGTTTATTTCGGCAAATATATTAAGGTAACCGTACTTAATTATTATTGAATCCTTACGCATATCTTGTCCTAAAAGCGTCGATATTTATTGCTTACCGTCTAACGCTGCTCAAAGATCCCCCACAAGTAATTCGCTGGTATTATAGGGTATTGATAAAACATAAAATACTGGTTTTGCTTATCAAGACAATATAAATTGACGACATTACGGGTCATCGCTTAAATTCTGATGTCGTAAAATAGTTTGCAGAATGGAAAATCATTAATTAAATGCTGTGTTTCGTATTTTCACGCTTAAAATTATATTATATTTTATATTTATATTTATATTTAAACAATTTAATATTTAAGGTAACAAAACAATCAAAATCTAAAGTTTCGCCAAAAACGGTATGGGTGTATAGTTTCGAATGCGAAATACATAACTTTAGTTATTTAATTAATAATTAAATTTTTGTTATAAAGATTTTGGTTTTTGTTGCGTTGATTTTGCGTTGACTTTTACTTCCGATTTTTTCCCAATCTTTGTTGGTAGTTATAGGTTATAGTTTATTAGTTGTTGGTTGACTATATTAGTAGCTCTTGTCAAATCCAAAAATTTCTTGAACCAGAAGAGATTCTGGTAAATGCTGTAAATGTCATAAAAACTTTATAACTGAAGCACATAACTTCAATTGATAGCTTATATAAGGAAATTGCAATTTTTTAAATTAGTTTCGCATCAACTATATCTGGATTATAATGGCACCAATGTTTTTTAATAAAATTTTCGACCCCTAATATATAATGTCTCAATTTCAGCCCTTAACGTTTGTAAATAAGGAAGATATAACATTTTCTAAAATTACTATTAAATTTTGAAACATTTTTTCAGCTGCAAATGGGATTGCGAGGTATAATTTGATAACGCGATTATATTTTGCCCGCAGAAATAGGCAATTGGCGAATTTAAAAAAATTACCAGCTAAAATGCAAATTTTAATAATTGAAGGTGTCACGCACAGCTGTCCGGCATACAGCGATTTATTAATTAAAGTCAATCGCGTATCGAGTTTCATGAAACTGGGACTTAGAGTTCAGTTGAAAAATATTTATTGTTGGCCAAACGGCAAACCTCTGATTACCGTTCTATGAAGACGTAACCCGATTCTATGAGAAAACCGCATTCTATGCAAACAGTTTTTTCTATTGCTCAAAAATTTAGATATTGACAAATCAACTTTTTTAGTTGTGAGAAAAGAAAATGTTTGTTGAAAAATTGTTTACTTCGTTGTTGTTTTAAATTCGCAACATTTACGTTGACGTTAGTTAGTTGACGTGTACAGTACACGTGCAATTTCTGGCACATATTGCCGAAAACCACCGGTCCGCCACATACGAATATTGCTTTTCATTTCGAACTCATCCCGATTTAAAATTGAGTGGACGAGTTTGCGGTTTTGCACCAAATCGGAATTTTAAAATATTTTTTTTTAAAGAACAACAATGTTAACGAAGCTATAAAGTGAATGAAATGATAATGAATAAAATCAGTTTAAAATTTGTTTAAATTATTTTATTTGTTATATTTGTTAAAATTCTACTTGTACTTACTAAACCAAAGTAAATTATTTTGAGAAGACATTTACAACAATCTTTTGTAATTAAAAATTTGCCTTCGAAGGACATGTATTTTTTTTTAACGGTGTTTTATATTATTTTGCTATTAATTTGGGCAACATTATTTCAAAACTTTTCAAATTATTTGAATTATTAGATTAGATAAAGTTGTGAAAGTTTCTTAAAAAAATGACGAAATAACAACACATGTTTTGTTTTTAATTATTTTTTCTTTACATTTTACTTTACTTTACGTTTCCTTATTCTACTTGTACTTACGTAAATTATTTTAAGGAAAAAATTTCTTTAAACTTTCATGGCGAAAAACATGTTTTAGATGTTTTTTTTTAATGCAAAAAAATTTATGCGTTTTACTAATACTCTTTTTTGGATTAAAAATGAGTTTCACACTGTTTTGCTATGAATTTGGGAAAACTCGTTCACATAAAAACTTTTTTTTCCAAAATTAACAAGCAACAAATTTTCATCCCAAAAGGAAATATCAACAAAACATTTGAAAAATTGACGAAGTAACAAAAAATGTTTTGTGTTTAAATCCAGATTAACAAAAACATTTTTTTTTGTATTTCAATACATAGTTTTTGAAAAATTTAAAGCGTTGTACCGATACTGTGTGTTTTTGCAAAAACTGCATTTTACACCATTTCGCAACCAATTTGGGAAAAGAAATTTTTACAAAAACTTCAGATATATTTTCCAAAATTGACAAAGATTTAGCAACAATCTTTCATACCAGTTAAAGTTTTTTTCCTATTTTCGACATTATTTAGGAAATAGCATTAAAGTTTAACGAACAAAACGAACAAAAGAAAATGTATATTTTTAAATAATCGTATCACAAAATATGCATTCGATTTAATTATTACGTCTTTTCTATTCAAATTATTATTATTATTAATAATTCATAATCGAAAATATATACACTGAGAGAAATAATATCGCAAAAATAAACTCACCGAATTCTGTCACGCAACACCTGTTGGCACTAGGAGAAACGTTAATATTTCTTGGGCTTCGGAGGGGGGCAGAGGAAGTGCTTCGCAGCGTCGCAACGTTAACAGATCGGACGATCCGGTGCGGAAGTTCTTTTATACGGGCGTCGAGACGCGCCTGCACCGCCTCTTATCCAATCGGCGTCACAACGGTGAGCGCGGGGTTAACGGCAACCCCATTCAATTTTCGGTAATTCCTATCTAATTTCGTATGCATTAATAAGCTATTATTTTCCCCCGCGGCACACGCGCCACCTGTATGAACACTTTCCCGGAAAAGGGAGGAAATTCTTAAATGTCGCAGGTCCCGCAGTTGTTTAAGCTGGTTGCTGTGCTGTGTTTATGTCGCATTTATTTAGTTTATAAACTACTTTGGCACTTAAACTTTAACATTACTTAAGAGTTAACACGGAAGCTTAAATTCAAGTGAGAAACATCACAGGTGTTTTCTAATGGAGTGGCAATTTTTAAGAGGGTAATTTTTTAGTATGCCTTAGACATCTTAAATTTTCAGTTTTTGAAAATATGGTTAAATAATTTTAATAAAATTTGGTACGGGGGTACTGTCAAGCATGAGTCGCCACATTTCCCTTCGTTTCCGCCAGTGCCGTAAGTGCGGAATCTGACTAGCATATATTTTTAAACTTCAATGAAACGCCACTGATTTATTTTAGAATAATTTTTTATACATCACCATTGGGTTCAAAAAATTAAATCTTTTCATAAGCATATACCAAATATGATTAGAGCAGGATATTCAAAAAGTTTTAAGTTAATTCAAAATTTGTACCACCCTGTAGCTCAACTATCTTCAAGGATAAAATTCAATAATTTTCGAACATGCGGAATTCAAAAACGCTATCAGAAATGTTGTCAGATTTACCACTTTAAAGTCACTCGTCATGATTTTGTTATTTTAAATAGAATGTCCTATGCGCATGTCGAATTTATTAAGGTCTCATAAGTTCAAAATATATTTTTTTAATTACAGAGCTCGGGTAATACGGTCAAAAGCTGGAACGATAAAATTCAATACTTGGGGATTTTTGAACAGCAGTGTCAGATTTACCAGTTTTACGTTACATGTCATAATTGTTTTATTTTAAATGGATTAATGCCCTATTTATTTTTGTTGCAATAATTTTTTAAAAAAAGTTATCATCGCTAAATCTGTTAGAACTCATAAATGCTGTTAGCATTTATGAGTTCTGCGCGTTCACGATACGTTTTACTGAAAAAGCGGAGTTGGCGTATCTCAGGAATTCGAATCAAAATTTTGAAATTATGATATGTTACTAAACTAAATACATTGCAATAAAGATAAATTGGGCATTCCGTTTAAAATAACAAAATTACAACTTGTAACGTAAAGGTGGTAAATCTGACAACGCTGTTGGTTGCATTTTCGAATTCGACAATTATTGAAATTTATCGTTCCAGCTTTGGTATTTTTGGAGATATTTAAGATCCGTGTACATGAAATTACATCTTTTATCAGCAATTACCTAAATACTACCTAAATTATCATCAAATTCCGGTGATTATATCCTTCATTACCAATGCAAAGATCTTGCTTCTATCGAATAAATAGCGATGAGTAAGTAAAGAAAACTTTTTGGTTATTCTATTTATTAAAATACATTTGAAAGAAAAATACATCAAAAGTAAATGCAATCTAAACAAAAGGCATATCATTTTTTCCTTAAATCCGGATATTAGATGTTGAAATATGATATTTGGTAAAACTACTTACTAAATTTGAATGCAGTTTTAATAATATAGTTTAAAAGAAAACTCCTTCTGCGGAGTTCCCCTACACTGTCTACGATTACCAGGACTAGTCAGGACTATTCCATCCCAAGACGCTTCAGCCTTAAACAACACATGCACAAATACCACCTTTCGGACGAAGACGAGCATTAAGGATGAGGAAACTGTGGAGCATATATTGTGACGATTCCCGCCAATGGGAAGGATCATTGAGGGCTGGCATCCTGGAGCGCGAAAATCCAAAGGGCATATCGCTCCGCAAAATAATGGAGTTCGTACGAGTGCTGAACTTGAAACCTAAACTTAGACCACTGACTTTGACGGCTTCAACAATTTTTGGTACGTTTTGCTCGCATTAAGTATTTGGGAGGTGACATATTAACACGTTATACTGATTTTCCGTCCCTCGAAGTTCCCTATAGTTGTTGCGAAAAAATTATGCCGCAGGTTTGTTCATCACAAAAGCAGTAGTTACTACAAAGAAAAAAAGGAGTTTGTGAAATTTCATGACAAATTCAATGACAATAATAGGATTTTGTAACCAATTAATATTATTATAAATTTTTTCAGCTAGAATCAACTTTTGTATATTATTTTTTATTCTTACCATGTTTTAAGTTGGTCATCATTTTCATTAGAACCCAGGATTCACTCTTTCCGCAAGCAGAAATCGATAAATCCGGAACTTCTCCAGCAGCCTCAGTAATATCACGGTTAACCTTCGTTGCTTCTAATGACAGATTTAATGGAAATTCTTTTATATTTCTATATTTTTCTATTTCATTTTTGTTTATATATTAAAAATTGGTTTACATATAGAATTAAACTCAAAATATAATTAAATATGCGGACAAATAAATATATTGTTTATAAGGGTATATTATTTTACTCATACAGATTTTCGCGTCTACTTTCGGTTTGTATAAATAAACCGATAAACAAAATTCTAAAAAAATAGCGCGTTTTTAAATAAGATTTTTACATTTTTAAATAGATTACAATATAATGATAAAATAGGAAATAGTATTTACAACAGCGATTTAATTTTATTTTAACAAAACAACAATTCCAAATTAGAAATTAAATTTTGACATTTCTATGAGCCCAACAAGCAGCCCATAAAAATTTTGCGTGCTTACCAAATAGGACTTTAATTTTGCAAATACAGGGTAAATGCTCCCTTTACATGAAATTTAGAATACTTTAGAATACTTATGATTGAGTCATGCCGAAAGATTACTACTAATAAGATTTTCTACAGGGGCGTAGTTCAGGTGCTGCTAACCAAAACTAAAGATGGATAATTTCGAATTTAAATTTTGTCAGCACCAACTTTCACGACTAAATCAAAAGTAAAGGGTCTAAATTTCATTTAGTTATGTTCAACTGTTTCAAGTCTAATAAAAAAATTTTTTTTTGCCATTTTTACATAGTGAAAAACGCAGGACTTTTTTTTAAACACAGTGTATATTAAGATAGAATATTTAATTTTGTACATTTAAAACATTCTTTTTTCCATCTGGAGTAGGGCCTTTTAAATGGATACGTGAGATTGCCTAATTCAAGGAATTCAGCGATGATATGCGGATGAAATTTGGTCCATATTTTTTCTAGTATTAGCTCGTAGGTTATTGGTTACTAACTGTACCAGGGATATTTTTTTTTCAAAGAAACTTCTACAGGCTACTGTAATGCTTTTTACAAAACTTCTGGATTCTTCCTGCGTCGGTTTTTGCTGTAACAGTTTCGGTCAAGCTCTGAAGAAGCCAACAGGATGATTCGCGAAACGTCAGCAATTTCGACTAAGCAAAGACCGATGCAGGAGGAATCCAGAAGTTTTGTAAAAAACATGTACCAGGGATAAATTTAAAAATTTTATACTTAATATATTAAGTAATAATTAATAATATTTTTTTTATAAAAGCTTGATATTTTCGTATTAAAAAGTTTAAAGAATTTCGTAGTTAATTACTTCTCAAGTATACTAATATTGAAAGATCTTACTTTTTTTTTAAGAAAACAATTATATATAATATTTTTAGTATTTATGATGGGATCAATATTAAGAATAACCGCACAACTTCCATTCAGTTTTCCCTCTAGTTTAGAAATTTAGTCTTCAAATTTTATTTTCCTCACTGAGCTGCTTCTAAATTCAAGTAATGCCACATAAATTCGGTTTACTCCATTGTTTCAAATTCTGCTTCGTATGGGTGTAGGATAAAGTTCAATGTATTTTCTAAACTTTTAAATTGATGGAATTTCTACTCAAAAACATGTCTTATTCGATGCACAATCATAAAATATTTTTAATTGCATTTTCTTGGATGTCAATGCAAAAATTATTGTGTTTTGAAAATATTTCTGTAATTGAGGAAAATATGTTTTCAGTTCTTAATCCTTAGTAAAGATGTCAAGTTCATAAATATTAGTTCAGACCAAGTTTATCATTCAGCTCATGAAAATGCAAATTGAATAATAATTATCCACATAAATGAGAAAATCTATAGCAACGTAAACAAACAAATGGTTGCCTAGTAATCGGAGGTAGTTCAAAAGCTTGCGTGGATCACGCATCACGGATCATCTATTCTTCGTATTATTGCTGCCCGTAGACACCATTGTACCCATAGACCCACCCTATCGCATTTTTTATTTAAAAAAATCATAAATAATGGTGGTTTCCCGAAATTTCCTACTTATTCATTCTTCACTCGTGTCTTTATGTAGATACACGTGTGGAATTAATTATTCAACCTCAGCTCCCGCAGCAGATAATTTGAATCCTGCGTACACCGTGAAATGTCGCAAAGCGGATTATAGGCATTTTTTTATATTTTCCAAAAAAAAAATTACGGATTTCTGACGCAATGATTAAGTCAAAAGAGAGAAGAGGACCATCGGTGAAGTATTAATGACACGTTTGCTGATAAAATCAGCGTCGTTTATCTAACAAATTGGCTGAAATTATTAATCCATATGTTAAACGATCTATAAATGTCATTCAGTCCGGCTGCGCCAAGTACGTCGCAATTAATTAACGAATATTTTTTTATGATGTGTGTTTACCGATCGACTTTGGTTGTACCGTAACAGATTTGCGAACTTAATTACCTTTTTGAAAATATTATGCATCGATTTATACGAGATGTCTATAAATGCAGTTATGAAATATTTTAGTTTTATTGTTATTAATTTTGCATTACGCCTTATGATGAGCAAAAATTTTTCATATTTAATGACCGACTTCCCTCCATGCTTACCCTATCACATACTCTATATCCAGGGTGGTCCGAATTATAATGCCTTAACTTTAGCAGCGTATTCATCAGATGAAAATACGTACAAATGTTCGTATAAACGTATGCCCCACAATGCAGTTAGATGTTTATGTATGCAATTTTGGAATATTAGGGTATCTAAATTTATTAACAAAACTGCGATAAACCATTGGCGGATTTTAGTGCAATTTGGGACGCACAAAAATCAGCAACCCTTTGTTGAAAGCGGTTTTTTTTAAATTAAGCAACATTAAACAAATAAATAAAACGAAATAATCTCCTGCAATGGCTCTTATGGACGCCATCTTTTATTTTGAAGTACGCCGGATGTCTTTGCAGGATTCTCAACAAATCTTTGTTGTTTTGTTATGATAAATTTTACAATGCAACCACCAACACTCGGTTAATGTATGATATACGGCGACAGATTTATCTAATCATCAACCGTACCCTCTGAATAGGGCAAATATAATTGAACGTTTACAATAATTGTGAAATTAATCAAATTAGGTAAATATTTATCCGCAAACTCAAATAGGCGTATAATAGGTTGGCGCAATAAAATCTTTGGATTTGTATGGGTAAACATCCCATATACCGAGTTTCTGTGTGCTTAGGGCATACAATTTATATCGACGTGTTGAGCTGGATTGGATATATTTTTTAATAGGTTATACTGGGTCAAAATTTACATTACAATTAACCTCTCTCTTTGCCAATAATGATAAGTGTTTAAAATGTATTTGCCTAAAACTTTTAAAGGGCTTCTAGAGGAGCATTTAGAACTAGATCTTTCGGAGAAGCTTTTAGAGGCGCATCTACCCGAAAATATTGAAACCCGTGCGGTAAAATCCCAGAAATGTCCGAAGTGGCTCAGATCCGTGGTAAGCGTAACTGAAGTGGTAAAGTGATGCTTCCCGCACGCTAGACCGGCGTGTAATTAGGCATTTTACAGACGGGAGTAGAAAAATTATATAACTAATCTATTATTAAAGATAAAAAATATGCACGTCAAAAAGAATTGCAGCGTTTGTAAACCAAAACTGACAATTAATATAGTAACTGCGCAGCATCCTATTTATCTTAATTTTGTCGCTAAAACCCATCGCATTATACCCATAGGCAAGTCGATATTCAAATATCCTCTTCTGGATGATAAATTGTCAAACAATCGTTCCTGGGAGAATAATCCGTAACCCATATCTCTGCATTGTTTGGAAATTTTATTGGTCACTTGACAATATGTGAGCATGGTAGGTATACAGGGTGTTGTTTCCCCGGCAGTGATAATTTACTCTATATAAAATTCTAAATGTGTTCTAAAGTCTAGCGTTTGTTCCATGCTTTTAGTGACATTACTTGTAATGAACGTACCATACTTGATAGGGATTCTCTATTTTAAATGCGTTAAATAAATGAATACGAAAAACAGTTTTTTCCCTCCAGCGTGGTATGAACATCATGTAGAAGCAAACCATTGCAGGCTACTGTAATACATATATTGAAAATCCCATGATGGGAAAACGATAAATCTGTTCCCTGCGCATTCACCTTAACACAACTCGACCGTCTAGGGATATACAAAATGGTAACAGTTCAAATAAAGCAAACGAAAAATTTAAAATTTTCCACACACCAGGTATGTCATCCAAGAGTTATGGAAAGAAAAACAAACTTATTTTCAAAAAAATGTGTTTAATAAAATGCAATACAAAATAAAATTACATGTAGGATAGATACAATAGGTTTTACCTATAAACTCTAACAACTCTTAAATCTTTAGTTTACACAATCTTTAGAATTTATCTAAATTTCTCTCAGCATTAAATGGTACTACAATTTTAGAAAACTTTTGTATATAAAACATCCATAATTAATCATAAAGGGATTAAAATGGACACTTTGATTGAATCCTCTAAGAACCTACCACCATTCTGAGTCACTTACTTCATGATCTAAATTGTGCGTGCTGTGACTATATGGATACAAAGGATGCCACCAATTCAGCACATGGATTTTAACTATAGGATCAAAAATCAGTACTGCATCATCTGCAGACTTGGTTGTCGAATTAATACTTGAGCCAAATACCAACTGAAGCCGATATTGCCTCATATTTTGGGACAAGTTCATAGATGTACTTTTCAGTGTTAGTCCTGGAAGTAACTACCTTGTCACCTTGGTCATACGGGATGGAAGGATACTTACCAAAAACATCTGGGACCTGAACAAAGTAGGAACAAGTGATTTGAAGAATCTTGCAGTTTTCTTCAGGGTTGGCAAATATGTCATCGGGAACCCTCAGCACGTCTGGTGTGGAGGAATTGGTCCTGGAATGTATGGCAGAATTGGATTTTTGCCTCAGCTTTATGTAATAGACCCAAGAATCCTCTTTTATGCAACAGTACCAAATCAAGTCACACTTATATCTCTCTAAAAGTGATGAATCATCAAAATTACGAGAGAAATATTTATTTTCCCGCTTCTGAATAAATGGATCATACATATAATGAAGAGCTCTTATTACAGAAGCTCTAAGACCATATTCTCGTACAAGGCACTCTGGTTGCAATTGTTCTGGTAGATTTGGAACACTTTTATAATATCGTCTATACAAACGAAACCAAAATTTTGCGGAACACACCACTTGAAAAGATGATCTGCAAATGGCAGCAAAAATACCAACATCTTTGGGAGATATATATTCAGATATTAGAAACCAAACATCTAAAGGATAAACTTCTTCAATGCTATCCTTTCTGCACTTTTCTGCAACAGAGTCCAATTGCGTTATAACTTGAGCTTCATCTTTCTGAATGACAACCGATGCTATTTCCTCAGTTTCAGAGGTATCAGTATCAGATTCTTGAGGTACTTCTTCTTCTTCAACGTCCTCTTCAGTTTTTTCTTCCTCGGTCTTTTCAACTTCTTCTTTCAATACCACCTTCACATTTTTTAAAGATTTTCCTAAACGAGTTATAGGTTCAGCTGCATCCGCAAATTCACTGATAGTTACATCTGAAGCAATAAATGAGTTTTCTTTGCTAGTTTTTTATTACAGTAAAAACATACCTCTCATCTTCTTGACAAAGTGCGTTTTGCTAGAATTTTTGTCTAACATTTCAGCATCCGCAGAATTACTGATAGTTACATCTGAAGCAATAAATGAGTTTACTTTGCTAATTTTTTATTACAGTAAAAACATACCTCTCCACTTCCTAGATTTTTTGTGTGGCATTTTAACATTAATGAGCCTTAATTTTCATAAAAATACATGATGCATTAAACCTAAAAAAAATCATTAGCAGAGGCAGTATTAATTACAACTTTACCATCATTAACTGACTGCTAGTAGTATATACTCCGTTTAAACTACTCAAGAATGTTCACTCATTTAAAGTCGATTATTACTCACAAATATCACCACACCAAATAAAGTGTTGTCACGATTTGGAATACTTGACACTCAATAACAGAGCGAGTATGGGGAAACGTGATGTCACAAAATATACTAAAGCACACACAGTTTACTGTTCTCGGAACTGTGACAATAACAGGAAGCTGTAGATGTTCCATTCGAGCACCTCGACCTTGGCCCATACAAGTTATTTTATTTTCTTGTAAGAGGCCATCTATGGGTTGGTGGACAAAATACTAGAATTCCATCAAGAATTAAGTTAATAATGGAAACTGTTTTATCGGTAGGAAAAGGGGCTAGTTTGACATTGGCTTTAAAATGGCTGTCAAGCTATAAGTTTGTGTATCTTGTGTATGTAGATAGTTAATAGAGGGATGGAATTTAAAGGTGTGTCGTTGTAAATAAGACGAAATTATGTTAATAGGTGTAAATAAACTTTTATCGGCAATGTGCTTATGCGAATACTTGCCACGGTTTCTGTGTTCATCGTCGCCTATTAGTTGAAACTAATCGTATAATTTTAACCTAAAGGGTTAGGACGGATAATATTGAATTAACGGAACAGTTTCGCGGGTGGTTTGTTTATAAAGTACGGCGTAAACATGTGGAACATGATGTGTGACGTTATGCCGACGATATCAGAAGACAGTATCAGCCAGAGAAGTTCGCAATTCTCTGGCGAAGATGCCAATTTTGAGCAACTAATGGTGTCTATGTTGGACGAAAGGGACAAGTTGATGGACAGTCTACGAGAAACCCAGGATCGTTTAGGAGAAACGGAGATCAAATTATCTGAAGTAGAGAAAGAACGGGATTCTCTGCAACGGCAAATTGCCGCAAATTTACCACAGGTAAGTCCGTCTGGCATCGCGCATTTTAGTCGGCGCGCTATGCTGATGTTACTTTTATGTGTGGAGCATTATTGATTCTTTGGTAAACCTTTGCTCGCCATATTTCAACCCAGAAATAGGTATCGGCCGGTTCATTTTACACCATGTGCATACCGAGCAGTGTCCTAACATTTGCCACTGAAACGTTAAAGATTTCTGGCGAAACTCCGCCCTCTGGTACTTGTCAATTTCGGTAACCTAGGTTACCGTTATGTTGCCTCGTCAATAATATCGTTTTAATAGTAACCAGACCAAACAAATTAACCTAAATTATTGTCCGGGACTAACAGTAATTGAAAAACGTCCCAAACTGGGTGTGCTTAAATCAATGTACATATTATTATTTGAACAATCCGCGTCAATCTTTATACCTGCTAATTTGTTGGCAATGTTTTAAAACTGCGAAACGGCATGTAGTAAATGGCATAATAATTACAGATGTAACTGTGTCGTAATGGCATTGCTAATGACAACTTTCGTGATTTTAATTTCTAATTAGACATAAATTGCATAATGGTTTTTGTGTTGCGGGTGTTGCTTAGCGGTCTCTTGAAGTACCAAATCGCGTTCCCGTAGTCTCACATTACTTTCCGTTTAAATTAGATAAATTGATCGCTGGGAACTATAAAGAAGTCATATATTTCGATTCATTTCATGTCGGCTTAAATGATTTTCTGTTTTCTGATTGCACCTACAGGGTAGCACCGACGTTTACTAGCGAGATTCCTATCAATACATCGTTTGTTGACGTCATGTCATTAATTAATGCGTTCATTCATAATAGGTATAAGAAGCCGACATTACCGGAACGCCAATCGATATCCTTACGAGATTGTGACAATCTAAGCGTTAATCTTGTGTTACAAAACGGTGTGACGATGTTTATTCGCGCTTTACAACCTTGCAAGGTCGCAAAACCACATTCATTTTGTTCGAAACCGGTAAGTGTATTTTTTTTTTCGGAGTACAATTCCCGAGATTTGTTTTGATGAGGTTTACGATCAATGGATAAATTATTTACATCGGATGGTTTGATTTTATTTGGTTATATATCCCATTTTCTTATTAGTCAGATAATGGCAACAAGAACTCCTGCATTCCAGAATTCCGTTACAACGTAAGCAACCCAATAAATAAATAAATAAGAAACATTCTATTCTAAATTTCATTTTTTGTTTTATTTGAAACAGAAATGCCAATTCAGCACAAAAAACTTTTCGACTATTGCCTGCTGTGGCAGTTAAACATTTTGTTTTTGCTCGAGTAGCACCTAAAAAAGGTAAATATTTCCCATAGAATTAAGGGGCTTGGTTCTGCCCGCTTACCATGTTTTTTTGTAATAACTGTTGCCTACACAGGGTGTTTGGCGGAAGGTTAGTCTTGGTGCCACAAACGTGCCCATTTTTGTGTGTTTTTGGACTTTAATGGGTTGTCAGTTGACCTGCCAATAATGTAAAAGCAACGACAACAAAAATAGGGGGCATAAGCCTGCCAAGTTTGGCTAGCTATTCGCCAATCACCCTGTGTATTCGATATGTGTATTTATACTTTTGCAAGACATTTGTTATGTTTTTAAAGAAAATTTGTCGTTTTCAATCTTGTACTTCCTTTTATACCCATATCCTATGTGAACATTATTCTACACTTCATACTGTCAAACTCAATAGAGAGTTTGTCAAAATTTACTTTGAACATCTGAGACTACAGTTTATGAATGAAATGCCCTGCATTCCTATTTATCTTTTTTTAATATTGTGATAAAGAATCGACTTTTATAATTTTCGAAAAAATTTCGACCATCTTTTGATGACGGGGACGTGGAACTGGAGGAGCTGCCTTAAATAGCGCTGCCGGTGGGTGGCTAAATTTGATCCTCTATTTTATTATGCGATTAGGGTACCGGCCTTGTAAGCGATACACTCCCGGGTTTAGGTTAGAACTGCCTCTAACGTATATTCAATCGCCCTTCTTTGGTTTTATTTACTGCCTAATTAAAACTGACTTTTAATTACCTAATTTTTTTTAAAAAAGCGGAGGAAGATTAATACGGGTGAAATATCTAATCTTCTTATCTGAGATCTGCGCACGATGTACAGTACAGTACAGTACAGTACATGTTTTTAAGAAACAAAATGAGATACAGGGTTTTTTTCAGTAAATGGCGTCAGGCAAAAAATAGTCAGTAATGAATCGGATGTACAAATTGACAATAGCAGAGTTTAGCTATTTTCTCATGCATGAAAACCATTTTTGTTTTAGTGTGTGAGTCGGATAAGAAAAAAAATCAATGGCAAAAAACAAACTTGATTGAAACCGGATGGGAACTTCCATTTGATATTGATATTGGAATATTAAATAACAATTGTTTAAGGAGTTTTTTCTTATATATATTATATGTTATACATAAACGATCTGTATGTTGGTAAATTAATTATTTTTTATTAATTGAGCGAGAAATAAATAGAAAGGTACAAGACGAAGTATATGTTTTTCTATTAAATCATTAATTTTTTATTTTGTTTGCAGAGGAAGGAAATTATTTTATTCTGACTCCGAATAAATTGTCAGATGATTAACTCCTCTAGAAGAGGATTGTGTACGTAAACCAACAAACATTGATAATTGTTTATAAAATTCATGATTATGTCGTTGCATACAGAAATTATTTATATTTCCTGTGGTATATTTATGAATTTATGTTGCACATGTCATGGATAGTTCGTAAAATTTGGAGAAAGTTAAATTTACACTGGCAACAACGCACTTCAACTTAGCACGAGCGTTTCACAAATAGGTCATCAAGCTTAAATTTGTATCCAGTAATTTTAATATGCCGTTCTAATTTTCCTTGCGGACTGATTTGTTTTTTTCCCACACACAAGCGCACACTGCAGATATTACGAGGTAGGTATTCGTGTGAGTCGATGAAAGTCGGAACGGATGTTTGAAAATAAAACATCAGATTTCCTGTGTTATTTGATTTTATTTGGTCGGCACCGTCCGTTGAAGACCGACGACAAAAATAGAAAGTTAATTTTAAATGTAGCTCGTCGTCCTAGGTGTTGTTGACAAAATGGCGAATGCGCGGCGGATAAAAATTCTTGTTACTCGCGAACCATTAAAAAAAAAAGAGAAAGCCTACATAGTTTCGTCTAAGTGATTGAACTGACAAAGTAAATAAAGCGAGGACCATTTTTTTGCGGCGTTTGTTTTTTTGACATGGGTTGCTCCATGTTTGTTTTTTGTTTCATCTTTTTTTGGTTGGTTCTGCCATCTAAATGTAAAGCGTTTTTTTTTTGGGGGGTGGGGGGCTGGGAGGGCAATACGCTTGCGGCCCACGTTCGCGGATTTGTTTGCCCAAAGCCTATAACGTTTCTTTGCCGCGCCCCTGGTCAAACTGCGATAAACCTTTTGGCGTTTGTTTTTTGGTTTTTGTTTAATTTCTGGTTGAGTTTGGGTTAAAAATGCGTCTAGCTCGCTGTTGTTCAAATCTTTACGTGAAAATAATAAAGGAAAACTAAAGACACCTAGTTCTTTTCCTGCGCGAAATAGAAAACTTCCTCTAAAAAGCGATCAATGATGAATCTTTCATCATCTGAAAAAAGTTGCTCATCGTTGTCTATTTCTTTGTCGTTATGTATATTCGTTATTAATTATTATTACAAAATACAAAATATATCTAAATTCAGTACTGAACTTAAAGGAATGAATGCTTTTTGGTTTTTCATAATTTTCGAATTTGACGCAGTATTTTAACACTAATAGCCGTTTTTTAAAGCAAATATTCAAAAATTTTATTGCAATATGTCAATAAGAGTGAATAAAATTGAGTTAAAGCTTTAATTCAGCGCACTTCCTATATACTCGAGAATACAGGGTGTTTAAAAAACATGCGTTAATGCTCCTAGGTCATTAATAAAAAGAAGTAAAAAAAGTCATGTTAATGTAGGTACCGAAGTGCCTAGTTTCCAAGGCACAGGGTGTTCAATATTTAAAAAAACGATTCTTCGATAATCCTTACGACACAATGTTTCATTAATGCTTCTTTGGTGCTTACTTTGTAGTTTATTGTGAGCGAAGTATCCAAAAAAATAAATGTTCATAAAAATACGTTTGGTCAATTGTTATGATTTCAATTTATCGCCCGCATACAAGAAAACAATTTCAGAATCAATTTTTGGTAGATTCTTCAAAGTAAATAACATAGTTTGCAAAAAAGTCAGGTCTTGGACAATACTAGTCGTTAGGGCACCTCTCGGGACGGCACTGGATTTCACAGCTTATTGTAAAAAAGCCGTTTTTTAATGGTATATTTTTCAACAAGTGTGTGTTCAGCAATTGTTTAATAGACAAATGACTTAAAAAGGTTACCAAACGTGTTGCATATACTATGCTTTCTTTGCGACCGTTAGTTTTTGCAAAACAATACGACAGGACAGGAGGGTCAGAATTGACAAACGTCAAAATTCAAACCGTGCGGTAATATATCCGAGAACATCCGATTGCTCCCAAACCCGTGCGGTAATATCCCGGAAATGTCCGAAGTGACTTGGATCAGTGGGACGTGAAACTGATGTGGTAAAATGTGTATTTTACAGGGAGTAGAAAAAAATAAATATGTTGTTTTTTTTCCTATTTGGCTTTAATTGTAATATTTTCATCAACTTATATTAATAATGATTAAAAAGTTTACCAAATGCATACTGCATACTAGACTTTTTCTACGACCATTAGTTTTTGGGAATTGACAAACGTCAAAATCCAAGCCGTGCGGTAATATCTCCAAAAACATCCGATTGCTCCCAAACCCGTGCGGTAATATCCCGGAAATGTCCCAAGTGACTCGGACCAGCGGGAAATGAAACTGATGTGGTAAAGTGACGCTTCCCGCACTCTAGATTGGTTTATAATTTATCTTTTACAGAATGGAGTAGAAAAAAAAATAGTTAACACTCTTTTTCTTCTTGACGAATCTTCATCCGTGCGCTTGTTTTTGGAAACGATCCACCCTACCTACAAAAAGTCACGTGACACCCAGCAACTTTCGTATTGACCTCATTTTTTCTAACTGGTCACATTACGAGACGTGATAGAATATCTTATCATAAAAAGGAAAGCATTACAATTTGGTCATTATTGTTTGTTTAATATTTTCAGGAATTCCTTCAATTTCAGTGATATCTTGAACATATTGCAATATTTTTTTAAAATTTTTAATTTAGTATCTATGACCATATATTAAAGTACATTTATGAAATAAAAATAAAAAAGAATTGTACCGTCATTAATCAAGAAATGCGGGAAATTGTTTTAATAATATAGCCGTCATATTATCCGGTTTACATCGCTTGTTTGAGCACGATCGGCGTGGCCCGAGCACCTGGAAATTTTGATTTTTGCAAGTCAAAAATGGAGGAGATCGGGTTTACTTAGAGCCCTCCCCACGGCGCCCATAGATCATTTTACGACGGTTTCGGTTATTATACGAGCAGGTCAGAAGCGATTAATCATCATCACACGCGTTATATTCATAAAGGCCGCCATACGCCGTGGCCGCGTTATTAACGCGTGCGTGTGTGACGGCTTCTCGCGGCCGCTATCGTACGCGTTACAAAAAAGCTTCCACGAAAACGGCCCCTTTGTGCGAATTCGAAAAACATTGTTCGTTACTTTTGGGTGCGGTTTTTCCTCCGTGTCGACTTTTGTTTGTCTTTGTTCGTATAACTAAAACGGATTTTCGCTCGGGATTTGAATAATTTTTGCATAGGGTGTCGATGGGAAGCGGTAAAATGGAATTTATCAGCAAGCATAAAATGCAATATGTCGTGAAAATCCCCCTTGACGGGGGCGTAACCGGATCGAATCGTTATACGATATAGTTTCGATAAATCGGGATACGGACGCCGCCTGCGGTGTTGTAGACGGGAATCGTGGAGAGAAAAACTAATAAAAAAAGAAGTAAATTTTTATAATTCGTTTATTCGTAAATGTTAGAACAAAAATTGCACCATCGTCAGTCAAAAAGTCAAACATTCTAGTTAGGAATGTTGTCTGACAAATCCATTATGCTATTTAAATTAAAAAAATATTATGTAGTACTTGTTATATGTACTTTAAACACGCTTCTCAGCAAGACGGTTGGAATACCCGACCCCGATCGTGAGAAGCTGCTGTGTTCTAGCCGTGCAGTTGAAGAAATATAATGATAAACGTTATGTAAATTATTAGTAATCTGCAGAGTGAATAGTAAACAGCTAGTGACTTTGTTACTTTTGGACGAAATAAGTTATTAGTTTGGAATGAGTTGTTTAATTTCACCGCAGTTTAATTGACGAATCGAACGATTTTAGCCGATTTAAAATGCTAACTGTAATAAAATATTGTTTATGTACATTCTCAACTATTATGTCAGTTTTGTTTTAGTGTTCTTGGATTTAGTGTTCATAAAAATTTAAAAGGTTTTTCTTTTTCAAAAAATACAAAAAAATATTGGTTAAATCTATATAAATAACAGATTTTGCACATCCATAGGATTTCAGATATTTAACGGATATCAGATTTCACAGACATTTCATGAATTTTCAAATAATTTTACGAATTTGATTGATTTTGAACAGCAATTAATAAATTAAAAATTATTAAATTAGAAATAGATATGAAAATATATAATAAATTTTAATACTTTTAATTTATTATTTTCATTTATTTATATTTTATTATTAAATAGTTACTATTAAATATATAAAAATTATTTTAATTTTTTTTGCTCTCTCTTCAGATTAAAAAAAATATATTTAGAAGTTAAATAAATAAAAGAAAACTTTTATGAGTTCATTGTGTATGTTTCTTTATATAAATCACACAAAAATTATGGCATCGCATACAGGGTGTTTCACTGCAAACTGATGTAATCAACATGAATTTGAAAATATTCGAAGTCATACTGTAAATAACTTGCAGTTATATCAGAAGAAACTTGCTTATTTTAAAGAGAACCATGTTTCCCATATTAAATTATTTATCGTGTTTAAAACATTTAGTAAATAATTTTTATTCTTATTAGGTTGTGCAGGGTTTTTCTCACAATTTTTGAAGTCAAGGTCAGTTTCAAGTGAATTTTTGTTTTAAAATATTTTCAACTTCCTGTGCCTTCCCGTTTATCTGGCAGTTGCCGTCATCTTGCTTCTTTCAAAGGGACAATCTCGTATATACATTTTGACATTCTGCGTGCAATTCTAAACATATTTTATGTATAATTTCCTATATCTAACCAATAAAGTTAACTTAAATTAACAATAGTATTTGTCAAAATTGGTTACGGTCTAACCAAATGTTAGACGCCAATCTGCAATTAACTGAAATATATTTAACTATTGTATATGGGCATTTTTAAAATTTTTATTTGGAAAATTTTCACAGATAACAAAGATTTCGCAGATTTCACGGATTTCACAAAGCTGACTTCACGCGTGATTTAATCTTTTTTAGAAACTGAACGAACTGAAGACATATTTAATTAATTAATTAATAATTTAATTAATATTTAAAATTTAAAAGTATATAAAATTTTGTTTGCGTTTAAAAAGTTTTTTAAGCAGTTAGATTATTATAAATTTTATTTTATTCAAATTTTTTTCCTATTTATAATATAAGTGAGCAAGATGAAGAGACCATTACTAACCGCCTTTTTCTGTTGTAAAATTTGCTTCACTTTTTTATAACGCCATTGCTACTATGCCGACTACGTGCGTTCAGTGACGCAAGTACAGGTTTTTTAAAAAGGTCTTAATTTTATTGGCCCAAAAAGCAATCCATTCTTCAAGCATAAAATTTGGTATCTCCGTTCTTGCAAAACAATTAGTGGAATCTAGTTCCCAAATTCAACATCCGTTGCGGTTTTCGTAAAATTCTTGCGAATTTCTTATTTGCGAATCATATTAATAATAAGAAAACATTTGTTTATTTAATACTAATTAGTAAACTTTTGTTTGAAAAAATATATATTGTATACAAGTTGTAAACTTCCAAAATTCCAATTTTTTTACCTAAATTTCGTGAGTGGTTCCCGCCCCCATATTGACCGTCGCCGCATCGAAATTATTTTTGCTGAGATTGGCAGGAACCCACCGTCGACACGTGGCCGTACAGTAGCGTCTAAAGACCACGAGGTGTACAACAGTGGGAATCTTGTATGACCCACTGCAAGTTTACAAGCGTCTGGCCTGCCCGTGATCTTGCTACCAAATTTTCGCGAACAGTGCCTTCGTAGTCATGTAAATGTAATTGGTTTAAATAATTATATGCTTTTTTTTGTTAGTGCTGGTTAGTTTTGGTTTTGATGTGCTTGCTAAAAGCTTTCACTTACAATAATCACCGTTAAGAAACATTTTGAGCGAAAATATAATTAAAACCAATATTTTGCTAAATTTATTACTTTTATTATTGTGTTATATAAAGGAAAGGCGGCAAAAATGCGTTAACATTATTAAAAAAGCATAAAGAGGCATTTGATTACAATATAAAATACAAAAAAACAAAGACAAAAAATGATTTAAAAAAAGCGCTGCAGAGCAAAAAATCATTTTTCAGACGTGAAACAGCGTAAACACACACACACACACACACACACACACACACACACAAGGAACAAAAATTAAACACAGCCAGTAATAAACCTGTAATTAAGAACCTAAATAAATAAATAATAAAACTAAATTAAAAAGATTGAATTAATAAGCTTAATAATATTAATAAAGAATTAATAAATACAATAAATAAATAAACTTGAAACGGCTAATCCAAGTATTTACCGGCAAATTATATATATTTTTGAAATTAAAAAAAAGTGAAGTTGTTACTTTTTTTATCTTTGCGATATTCATTTGTTTTTTTTTAATATGTTCAGAAAAAATTTGGGAAAAAATTAATTTTAATTAGTTTCAGTGTACCAGAAAAAACTAAAATAAAAATAAAACTCTGACACATTGTATTTCGAGAACGAAGCATTTTAGACCACACTTCTATTATTTATAATGCTATTAGTAGAATTAGGTATAATATAGATAACGACTATCAATGACAAGACTGAGAAACATACCGAGTCGGTTGCCTACAGATTGTTAGAATTTTGTTAGAGGAGGGGCCACTGAATTATCCAAGGAAGAATATCGGCTATTGTAGGAGTATATTAATCAATGACTAGCCATTTAACACTAGACTAGCAAATTAACGAAGATAACTCCGACATCCCTAAAAATATCTTTTAGGTTTTTTAGGTAAAAAAAGAAGATAATTGAAATTGGAAACAGAAACTTTAAAAATTGAGAAAATTCAAGGCCACCAATTGGCAAAATAAATTCTCTATCAGTATTACAAACTTTTGACCTTGTCAAATCACCCTGCGAAATATTGAACACATTTAATATTGCCAAATAAAAAACTTAAAACGTCGATAACCGTTTATTTTAGATTCGAACCTCTGACCAAAAATTGCAATAAATAAACTATCACAAATTGCGAATACTGGCAACGTTGCGGCCGGTGGCTCCGGGTTTTGCGTGCGTGAGCTGTCCGTGTCCATTGCTGTGCAACTGGTTCCTTCCGACCTGCGAACCTGAAAATAAAACCCCGCCGTCACTGAAATGGTTAATAAGCCTTATTTATTTATCTATGGAGGGCTGCCTTCTATTTTTGCACTGTTAGGATCTAAGGCGGTAGTGTTATAAATAGTATCGCACCGACCCTCCGGCGCTTGACTTGGCCTTTGGGGAGGGGGAAATGTTAGGCGATCCCTTTTTTTTGTAAAATTAAATTTTGACAGAGAACGCAAGACGAAGTTTAATTAAATTTCCGAGAGACTTGGCGATTTTCACGAGCAATTAGAGAAGAACCCGGTATATATTCTCGTAAAATTGGGTTTTAATTTGTATTTTTATCTTTTTTTTTTCATTGTTTCGTCTTAGACTTCTTGGGCGTAATTCCGAGGATTAATTAATTTTATTGCCATTAAAAAAAAGGCGGCTTAACAATTTGCTTCTGGCAACGAAAACTAATAAAAAACACATTAATAAGGCAAAGTTTTTGTTATAGATATTTCTTGAACAGCAATTTGAAACATAATTCTAAATAAAAAGAGAGAATCAATCTATTTTTAGAAAAATTTCAATTAGTAGTGATCAAAGAACAATTTAGAATGTCTTCTGATATTATAATAATGCGAAATTTGATTGCTGCAAAGAAAACAATTTTAATACAATTATTCAAGATCTTGCCATTGTTTTTAAAATTTGAAAATTGACTCCTTGTTTTCAATACAATTCCTTCAAGCTTGTTTATAATCACGATATTTTATAAAAAGCAACCTACCGTGAGGGTTGGAATATGATTCAGAACCAGCCTGGACGTTTCTGCCACCACTAGCACTGCCACTACCGAGGAGAAGATCCCTGAAACAATGCTAAATATTTATTTATGAAAATGGCAGCTGTCGGAAATCATAAAAATTATATCGTTTTTGAAGTTACATTTTTTGTTCTTGTATTCGTTGTATGTTTTGGTTAGTAAGCAAATCGTTGCTTTATTGATTAGAAGAAACAAAAACTTATATATACCAATATATATTTCATGTGATATATATTAAAGACAATTAGTATATAATGTAGACCTTATGGCAATGTGGGTTTTGTCCACGTTACATAACTATGAAAGTATCATCACTCCTTTCTTACATGAGCAACACCTTTACCTCTTCTGGCGACTTCCGGTGATCGGTGTGAAATAATATCTTCCTTCTTGTCCATCGTCTTCGAAGAATGGCAACGCGGAAGCTAAAACCACGCACCCCAGAAAACAGAAAATTACAAATTTAATCATTTTTGGCACTGATGAATATTATCAATGTCTCTGACGACGACTGGTATGGACGTGACCATTTTATAGCACAAGCCCGTGTCGAGAATCATTCTTGGTTTTTACGCAGACGATAAGATTGTTGACATACAATAATAATGTTTACTGCGTACGTATATGTTAAAAATATTATCTAATGACTTTTTGACCCGTGCGAGACAATGAGATACCGAAAAGACACTCGCCATATCTATTTTGAAGTCGTGGTATAACCCATACAGAAAGTATAATAAAAGTAATAGTAGCAGTGCCAATTTTGGATTGTAAATGCAAACTAAATCTGGTATACTTGTATATTTGCTCTTGGCAAATTTTATATTTATATATTTATATATGTTTTTAATTTTTTAAGGAAAAATGATGTGCCTTTTTAGACTGCATTTACTTTTAATGTATTTGAACTTTGAGAATATTTTTTTTGAAATGTATGTTAATAAATAGAAAAGTTTTATTTACTTATCCATCGTTATTTATTTAATAGAAGGACGATCGTTGCATGGGTAATTAGGTTTGTGGAATTGAGCGGTCAATTGACCTGTCGATTGACCGAAATAATTTTTAAAAGACCATTTAAGTTATTTTATTTATTTATATTGTGCGTGAAGAGGGTTGTAGGTAAAATAGACGTTACAAACGCATAATAATTTATTATAAAATACATATTATTATTAAATAATGATAGATAAAACTCTACAATACACACAACAGTAGGAATGATATGTTTTTCTTATTTACCTAAATATTCGTATATTACTCTGGTCTATTATTACATAGAAAATGGGTATGGGCGTACTAGTTCTCTTTCTCTTACTCCCAAGTAATATAATCCTGATCGTTAGTGATTGATCAGATAGATAATTAGGGTGGAACAACATCTGTTTTGCCGACTGTGCCATCACAAATCGTACCGACTATATCAAACTGTAATATAGCAATTGCTAAAAAATTTAAAATATCTATTTTTATTGTTTATTTATTAATTTGTCTTATTAATATTGAATCAAAGAATCGTGCGCACATCTCCCTAACTGTGTCCGAGAACAACCCTTCGGTATTTTCATTTCCGAAATAATGTATCGCCACCGAAGGGCACTTGCGTGCCGTTCTGCCCCGCGATCCACCACCCCTAGAGACGAGTCGTGATATCAAAAGTTCAAAAAGAAAATTTGATGGAAAAACGAGACCCGCCGGTCTCGGCCCTACGGTGATGATGCGGGCGGGGGTGTGGAACGTAAACGGGCCGCGCGGACCCTGAAGATTTATCGCCTGACCTGTTTGCCCTTTTTTCCTTTGCATCTACAAGGGACGGTAATAATTGGATAGACGTCTGTCATTGCCGCGGACCCGAAAGCGAATTAGTTTGCTCCTTTGGGCGGGATATTTGGGGGACCAATGCTAGTGAAGATGTTCTCTAAGGGGTTTTTAGAGGGTTCGAAAAAAGTTGTTTTTTCCTAATAACTAGCGAACTTGAGAATTATGTAAGATATAATATCGGGTAAACAAGATGCGGCTCCTTTGAAGTTCACAATTTCTGTGTCATGGATTTTTTTTAATTAAAGTTATATATAATCTAGTCCTTTTCTACCCGTAGGGCGTAAGGGTGACATTTCATTCACATGCAATTTAGCTAACTATTATTATTATTTAATTCTGTATCATGTCCTCTTGATTCTTCGAACATAATTCCCAAGTACTGGAAGTTACTAACTTGTTCTATGTCGCACGTATTCTCACCTCTAATTTCTCTTTTTCATTTGACACTGTCATAACTTTGGTTTTATTTATGTTCATTTTAATTCCTTTTTTTGTTAGTGTCTGATCCTAATTATTTAGATTTTCCTCCAGATCCTTCGGGGTTCCTGCTATGATTGTTATATCATCGGCGAAGGCACATTCCGATATGCTGATACGCTTTAGTTGTCGGTATCCAACGTAGAGGTGTTTTGATCGCTGTTCTGCCATTCTAATTAGATCGTCCATATAAGTTATGAATAGTAAAGGGCTCAAACTGCCCAATATCTCACTCCTTGTGTTATAAATGCCTTTGATTTCATGTTCTTACTTATTACACAATGCCTTGTTTCGTCGTATAAAACTCTTATTAGTTTATTGTCAACGTTTCTGGCTTGTAAGCTTTATTCGCGGTACTTTATCAAACGCTTTTTCTATATCTAAGAATGCCAGATCTTTTATTAATTAAAAAAATTAAATCTGAGTTTGATTTGTGCTTAAAATGAAATTGGAATAATAAAAATCTTTGGGATTTCATTTGGTTTGATTTTGAACCAAAAAACGTTGATAAAATATCTCTTAGCAATAAAAATTTGTCTATTTTCGAAGCGATCTGCATTTCAGGACTCAGACGTGTTTACGACTTAAGTTCAGGAGACACGATGTAATTTCTACATACATTTTAAGCTGATAAAAGTTAATACTTTTTTGGTGGGAGGCACGATGCAATTTTTCCGAGCAAGGCATGTGTTATTATTTTGCCGCATCTTTCTTTTTAATTGTTATTTTTTTTATTTTGGACAATAATAATAATAATAATAATAATAATAATAATAATAATAATAGCATTATAGTATTTTATTGCCAAATGAATGTTTACATAAATAATTGAAAAATTCGTATAAATAAATAAAAGAACAAAAACATTTTAGGAAGAAAGTACTAATGATTGAGTGGCGAAGTCTAGCTCGTAGTGGCTACTCTCACTCAACCACAAGTCGGCCACGATAATAACTTCACAATTAAAAATTAGGAAAAAAAACTATTTCCTGATTGTCACTAATCCATGGTGTTGCGACAGGTCAAAAAATGTTTTAAATAACATTGTAGAATGTTATCTATTATTGTTAAATTATTATGTGTTTGTGATGTTCAATTTACTTATAACCCTCGTTAAGGAAAATCCGAATTCGATACTTAGCGATTCGAGGAATCCGAATAATAATATCGACTCCATTTGGTTCCCAGCACGACGCGACAACGACAAAACGCAAAATATAAATAAATATAAACAAATAAATTTAAATTTCATGCTATTTTTAAAACTATTTCTGTCAATTGACCAGTCAATTGGCACAAAAAATTTGACTGCTCAATTTCACAGCCCTACTAATCCACCAGTTAATGTGAGAAACTATTAAATATATTGAAAAAAATTAATAAAGGCTGTCGATACCGCGCGTATGTTTAACCAAAAAAAATATATATATATATATATATATATATATATATATATATATATATATATATATATATATATATATATATTGTTAGGAGAGTAAAGTTATTTGCACCAGTTAAAACTACAAAAGAGGTGAAACAAACAGACACACCCTTATTTAGGTGCGTATACTTAATGCAAAAATGTATTCACCACGAAAATTTGTTGGAGTTTTTTCAATTTTTATCATTTTAATAAAGACTAAAAAAGCGACTCGATAGCACAACAAAACGGACATAAAAACTTGAGATTACCCCCGTATCATTGTATATTGAGATGATTTGGTCTGAGTTGAAAGCGCACGTAAGAGGAAATAACACTGCAAGCAAAATTTAGTGATAGTACCATAAACGTAATTCTGGTCTAACTGTGAAAAACGAGTAATAAAAGAAGAAAATATTTATCGAGAACGGCGGAATTGATAATTGAATCACATTAGCGATGGTGACGTTTTTTTTAAGTGACTGATGCTTCATTATTATTACAATATTTAATATTTTGTATGTTAATTCTGATACTATGTAGAAATATAATAAAATAGAACGTTTGGAATGGTTACGGGTAAGGGTCTGCCCGGCAGGGTGTACTATAAGGGGCTGCGGTTTTGGAGCAATAAACAGTAGGCAAAGTTAATCACGGAGTCCGTTGTAAAAGCACTATATTTCTGGTCGAAGTATAGCACTCTTGTTATCAACAGCTATTACTATTACTATTTGTCAAAATCGGTTAACGTGCAATCAAAAGTCACACCTTAGACGCAATCCAAAGGGCGTCACGTTTATTCATATACTGCATTTTTTTTACATTGATTTGTTTATTACTTAAAGATGATTTGAAAATGCTCTAAACTCAAAATTTTACAAACATGGTATAATTTTGTGGATTTCGCAGATAACAAAGATTTCACAGAGTTAGTAAATGAGATTGCACACGTAATTTTTTATCCCTCGAGATATCAAGAAACTAAAGAGCCGAACGAAAACGCATGAATTCTAAATTTTTTGCAATAAAAATAGCTGCGCATTTTGGTAGTAGACACAATGAAATATTTTCATGGGAGGCAAATTTTTTACATCCATAAAATTAAAAATGTTATAATTAAAGGGGAAATATTTTTTATATTTATTTACAACAACGTCGTTATTTTGCTAATATATGAAATTCGATATAATTTGTTCTTTTATATGTCGAATTATTGGAGGCGCGTTTCGAATAATGGCTGACGGATACATACACGAGAGAAAAACGACTGCGATCCCAAAAGGCGAGTCCTCCTTTAATGAAGACGATTGCCAAAGTCACGAAACGCATCACGCCAAATTGATTTCCTGATAAAATCATCGCATGAAAATGGCTCCCATTAAACGTTGTAGATGTACAGCGGGACAAATCGTGAAGGAAGGAGGGGCCGAATTTGAACCGGTGTCATTTTTTTATCGCGGAAATTTGATGTGTAAAACTAGAAATCCGACCGCTTGCACGGGCCTAATTAAAAGATACGACGGAGATACGTAACCGGACAAACCCTGGGTTAATCTTAGAAGCTGAAAGCCGAATATAATGGTCTTAGAGACGTTAAGGCTTTTAATTGTTCTTAATCTCTTAGATTAAGTCAGGACCTCAAACGGGACGTCATCTTTGCCAAAATCCCAGCCAGTTTTGCTGCAAATCCCTCGAAGGAGCGTCTGCGTTTTATTTTGGAGGGTTAACTTGGAGCAAATTACCCCAACAGATGAGTAAGGGGATGGTTTGTCTGCATATTTTGTCGTCTCGTCGATAATCTAGCAATGT